GAGTAATCAAAGGTGCCGCATGGTGTTGTAGATTAAGAATTGTGGCAACTGGTCATTGCACTTGGCAGGATGAAGTCACTGCTTGTCTCAGTAAGAAAATTTTCAGTGGAGTGGCTGTGGCAGATGCCAGAAAAAGTGAGTTCAAAATGGAAGAAGTGGAAACAGGGAACACAAAAAACCTCTAAGAGTTTTTTTTAAAAAAATAAAAAGTCAAACCAAAACAAAAATGGTGGTACATTCACACAATGGAATATTATGCAGCACTAAAAGAGCAATGATTTTGAAAAATACTAAATAACTTGAGAGAGACTAGAGAACTTTATGCTGAGTGAACTAACTCAGTCAGTCTCATAAGGATAAATACTGCATAAGACCAGTGCTGTAAAAATAGAAGGGTAACTAGTAAAATGTGTATGGGAACTCAAGGAGGGAGGGCTGATGATGAGTAGGGGTGAAACCATAGGATTACACAGTTTGGTAGGTGGCAGAAGGTGGGGCAGGAAATGGGACGGACCCGGGTGAGAAGAAAGTGTAATGATAGGCAAGGTCCAATGGTGATTAATTTTATAAAACACAATGCATGAAAATGATTGTATGAAACATAATGTGAATGAAGACTAGCACAAAACACAATGTATACAAAATTCTAAAAAAATTTTAAAAATTCCAAAAACCCTAACAACAACAAAACCCCCAGAGGTTAGGGCAGAATATGAGATATATGAGTTTGCTTGGGTTTTTTGAGGCTGGGCGATAGGTTTCTGTTAACTGGTACAAATAATTCAATGGAGGGAAAAATATTAGATATATAATTAAAGAGAGAGAAGAGTAAAATTTATTCCAAGAGTAAAGTTGTTGACCAGGCAAGAAAAGACAGAATGAATGGTATGGATAAATTGGTTCAATCTCATTCTCATTATTTTTTCAGGGAAAACTCATTATGGGGGTAAAAGTTGACTGAATCTACTACATCTTAAACAAAAGTTTAGAAACAAGAGTATACAACAAGTGAACACAAATGAACTCAAAGAGAAGCACAGGTTTATGTGATTTCTTTATGAGACTAATTGACTCATAACTTGCAAAGTCCTGATTTTTAACTGTTGTTGTTAGGTCTCATTGAGTTAGCTGAGTATGACCCATAGCAATCCTGTGATCTGAACTCTGTTCCATCGTGCACCATTCTCACACTTCTTGACACATTAGAGCCCATTGTGGCAGTCACTGTGTTAATTCACCTGTTCAAGGCCTTCCTATCCTTTGCCGACACTCTACCTTTCTGAGCATCATGTCCTTCTCCAAGGATTACACCCACTTGGCAACATGCCTGTAGTATGTAAGATGAAACGTTAAAATCTTTGCCTCCAAAGAGCACTCTGGCTGCACCCTCTCCAAGACATATCTGTTCTTTTGGCCATCCATGGGATATTCAGTGTTCTTCTCTAACACCATAACTCAAAGGCATCAATTCTTCTTCTGTTAGTCTTATTCACTGTCCAGCTCTCAGATGCATAACAAATGCTAATTTAAAAATTCACAAATCACAATCTTTGTGATTTTTAATTAGCATTTTAAAAAAGACTTATAATACATTTTCATTTATTAATAAATTCTTAAATCACAATATAAAGTGAGTTTCAGCATCATAAATATTAACGTAAGCTGCTTTTAGTTCTCCAGATTCCTTTAGTATATCATTTAGATATGCTGTAAAGTGAAATACATGGCTTATCTTTTATGGCATATCTAAATGTTAGGACTTTTTGTGTTTGAAAGTTATTGATCCTTTTCTTTCATTTCTACCTTTTAAAGTCCTAGCAGCAGCAGCAGCAGAGACTTTCAATACTTTTTATATAAAACATAGTGGACCTAATTTTAGAAAATAGTATCACAGACTATTTTTATCCATCAACGGAAGGACAAGCTTAAAGTTGACATTTTTATAAGTGCCCAGTTTTAAATATAATCTTGGACAGAAGGTGCCTTTCAAGCCCCAGCCCTTCCTTTATTCTGAATTTATACCAACTTTTGAGTCTTTGAATGTTTTTAATAGAAATAAAATATCCAAAATAATGCAGTCAAAAGTTCTGAAAACAAATAGCCATGGTTATAAAAATAGCAACTCCCAATGACCACCAACTCAATACAGTTGGAAAAATTCAGGAATATTGCAACAAAAAAGGTGGGGAAACAACTACAAACACCAACATCCCCAGTTACTGACATCGCTCATTTACAGCTTTATACCGTTTTGCTTTTAAGAAACACCCTACATCAATCAGCACTTACTCTGGGTAACTAAAAAAAAATTTTAGTGGTGTTTTTCCTTTTATATAAAAGGAAGAAAGAGAAAACCAGAATGTAGTGTCTGTTTTGCAGTTAGCCGTTAAGAAAGGCAGTGCAGAACCCGAGCACTAAGTTGCTCCACAAGATTGGCAGTCTCCTCCTGTGCAATTTACTGCCTCTTAAAACTCACTGGAGAATTAGCTTCAAGTTAGTTCCAAGCTGATAGTATTTAACAACGGTAACTGTTCTTTTCTATTTTATGTGTTATTTGCTAGGATTTCCTGTTTTAGTTTCAGGAATGTTCAATTTTTTCCCCCATATAAGTGAAGAACAGTAATTGGTTCTTCACTTTTTGTTATTTCATTTTCAAAAGGTTTCCGAGTTATAAGCCACTGGTGGAGGAAATCTGTACAGACTCCACTGAGTAAGTAAACCAAAACCAAATGCAATCCACCGCAGTCAACCTGGACTCACGGCAATCCTGCAGGATAGAGAACTGCCTCGGAGGGTTTTTAAGTCTGCCATCTCTCCGGATGCAGACTGCCTCATTTTTCCCCCCAAGGATATGCTGATGGGTGAGGATTACTGACTTCATTAGCAGCTTGATATTTAAACACTCAGCTCCAGGGTACGTTTAGAGAGTAACAGCAAATATTAAGACTTGACATTTCATTTTCTTTTTTTATTTTTATTTTGTGTGTGTGTACCGTCAAATCAGATCTGACTGGTACAGGAGTATATTGTGCCTCCTTCTCTTGCAGGGCGTCTGGTGGATTTTAACTGTGTTCCTCTGGGATTGCAGCGCAGCTTCTTGCCACTAGGCCACCAGAGCTCTGACATTTCATTTTCTAAATCAAGTGTAGACATACTGGCCTAGTTCTTAGGAACTGCATTGCAAACCCAAAGGCATGCAGTGGGAATCCACCAGCTGCTCTGAGGGAGAAGGATGGGCACTCTCCTCCCATGTAATTTACAAGCTTAGAAAATCTGCTGGAGGGTTGGCTAAGCATCAGTTTCGACTCAGTGGCACACAACAGCAAATCAGCATCAGAAATTCTGTACTACTTTCTCACTGTTAATTTTCAAGTTATTAGTCTAATAAACACACTGCATCTAAGCTGGCTCCACCTCCTAGCGCCCTAGAGGATGGAGTAGAGCTGCACCAGAGGGTTTTCAAGGTTGGAAATCTCTACATGGCAGACCAGGCCCTCGTTCTCCCATGGAATGGCTGGTGGGTTCCAACAGCCAACCTCTTGAATAGCAGCTCAATGCTTAACTTGCGACACTTCTAAAATAATGGTCATCCACATTTTTCTAACCTGGCTCCTCATTTAGCATCATCTTTTTATTGCTTTACAGAGCTTTTATCATGTTCAAAATACTCCTAAATCTAGGTGATAATGGAGAAACAGCCAAGTTGGTATCATGAGAAGAAAAAAAAAGGGGGGGGGAATCAGTGTGTGTGTGTATGAGAGAGAGAGAGAGAGAAGAAACTTTAATAATCATCTTAATTAGCCTGGGAAACAGAAAAACTCATAAGGACACAATGATGTTAATGAGCAGGTACTATTTGTACACATTAATCACTGACCATATTCTATAGCTTTGAAATGCTTGGGATATGTTTCCTCAGGAAAATCAAGAGAACGAGATGATGATTTTTCTGATTACAATATAACTTCAATTAAATCCTACTCCCAAACAGAAATTACAAGG